GGGCCTCAGTTTGGAGCGGCTCATAGTGATGAAAAATCGTGCCTCAGTTTGGAGTGGCTCACAGCGCGATGAGAAGTCGGGCCTCAGTTTGGAGCGGCTCATAGTGATGAGAAGTCGGGCCTCAGTTTGGAGCGGCTCATAGTGATGAGAAATCGGGCCTCAGTTTGGAGCGGCTCATAGTGATGAGAAATCGTGCCTTAGTTTGGAGTGGCTCACAGCGTGATGAGAAGTCGGGCCTCAGTTTGGAGCGGCTCATAGTGATGAGAAATCGGGCCTCAGTTTGGAGCGGCTCATAGTGATGAGAAATCGGGCCTCAGTTTGGAGCGGCTCATAGTGATGAGAAATCGGGCCTCAGTTTGGAGCGGCTCATAGTGATGAGAAATCGGGCCTCAGTTTGGAGCGGCTCATAGTGATGAGAAATCGGGCCTCAGTTTAGAGCGGCTCATAGTGATGAGAAATCGGGTCTCAGTGTGGAGCGGCTCATAGTGATGATAAATCGTGCCTTAGTTTGGAGTGGCTCACAGCGCGATGAGAAGTCGGGCCTCAGTTTGGAGCGGCTCATAGTGATGAGAAATCGGGCCTCAGTTTGGAGCGGCTCATAGTGATGAGAAATCGGGCCTCAGTTTGGAGCGGCTCATAGTGATGAGAAATCGGGCCTCAGTTTGGAGCGGCTCATAGTGATGAGAAATTGTGCCTTAGTTTGGAGTGGCTCACAGCGCGATGAGAAGTCGGGCCTCAGTTTGGAGCGGCTCATAGTGATGAGAAATCGGGCCTCAGTTTGGAGCGGCTCATAGTGATGAGAAATCGTGCCTTAGTTTGGAGTGGCTTACAGCGCGATGAGAAGTCGGGCCTCAGTTTGGAACGGCTCATAGTGATGAGAAATCGGGCCTTAGTTTGGAGCGGCTCATAGTGATGAGAAATCGGGCCTATGTTTGGAGCGACGCATACTCAGCTTGCTTCCAGAATTCATTTCTTGCGTTTTCGGTGGTCTGTACGAGATCTGCTTCTAATCCAAAGACTGGTACATCAGATGAAACCTCAATTTCAACTCTAAAGTCATACAAAGATACAAAGCTATGTTGAACTCAATTCTTTTTTGATTGCTTCGAAGGTCTTATCTTGAGGTTCCCTCTAAATACAACAACTTAGAGTTGATCACGTTTTGGCATTGAGAGCTATCTGGAAACCTGAGTTGTGGATATATGTCAGTCGTCGACCTTGCACTGAAATCATTATATTGGGAACAACCCCTTGAATATCGAATCAACTGCTATTCAGAAATGAAACATTCACATCACAGAAATTGAAATTACCACACGTATCATGCAGCGTGAAGGACATGTATACCCATTGGTTTTCGTTGAAGGAAAAATCACGTAAGCGGATGATTTTTCGCTTTTCCTTATTAAAAGGACGAAAAATGCATAATGTTAAAACATCATACGTAAGTCAACTTGTTCCGAAAGACGTGCCGGGTGGCGGAGTCAATATGGCAAATTTAAATAATTCTTTCGTCAGATCTGTTAAACTCGAAATTATTTATTAACATTTATATGATCCAATGTTTTACATAACGAAAGATTTTTTCTATCCGCACGTGAGATTGGAATTAAAAATTTAAAAATGTAAAGGAATGATAGTCATACAGATTTGTATTTGGCAATTTTCAGATTAATGGATTGATGAAAAAGAGGTTCAATGTGAAACTCTCTTTTTTAAGGTTTTTTTATGGCAGTTACGGGCCAATGGGACAAAATATATGACTAGCTGATCGGTAAACAATGGCACTTTGACATATGTAAGCACTGAAACCCATTCTTTCTTTAAAGTTTACATCGGTTTCGGAATAGTTCGTCTCTTTCGTCGACACAAAGCTTAGGAACTGTTTTCTCTCTGAAATATGCAAACGTAAAGTATAACATAAAATGGCAGATTATTTCTTGGTAAAAACATTAACACGGATGATGTAGGTGTGTAGGAGGTTGGTTCCTGTGACACAATCAGTATCACTACAAACAAAACCTCTGTTGGTACTTTAACATTTTCAGGTTGAAATTAATTCGTAGTAATAAAGATCAAATTACAATATGCCCTTTGTTCATGTACATATTGCTGTATCGCACGGAATTTATGGAAAGCAAGAAGGAACGATGGCAAGTCTCCCTCGATTTTTATGTGGATTGAAGCATTGACGCATTACAAACCAATACAAATTATCCCTCCGCGACATTACCATTGCAAACACTGACGGGTTACAAACCAAGGTCCAATATCCTTCCGCGACATAACCATTACAAACACTGACGGGTTACAAACCAAGGTCAATATCCCTCCGCGACATTACCATTACAAACACTGACGGGTTACAAACCAAGGTCAATATCCCTCCGCGACATTACCATTATAAACACTGACGGGTTACAAACCAAGGTCCAATATCCTTCCACGACATAACCATTACAAACACTGACGGGTTACAAACCAAGGTCCAATATCCTTCCGCGACATTACCAATACAAATATTGACGGGTTACAAACCAAGGTCCAATAACCCTCCGCGACATTTCCACTTCAAACAATTAAGCACTGACAGTTCAAAAAGCAAAGTCCAATATCCCTCCGCGAATACCATTACAAACATTGACGGGTTACAAACCAAAATCTGATATCTCTCGTTTCCAATATAAGCATTGATATTTTAAAAAATCAAGGTCTGACATTCCTCTACAACATTTTCAATACATATATAAGAACTAGTAGTTTACAAAACCAAGATCCAATATCCTTCCGAAACATTACCAGTGGAAGCGCTGACAGCTTATAAATGAAGGTTCGTCATTCCTCAGCGAAATAACGATCATAAATATATACAGAGGCCAATATCCTACAGCAATGAAATTCTTCAACTTCATTTAACAAACCAAAGATTAAGAAAATCCGTCTGTAATATTCAGTGTGTTGTAATGATATCATTCCTAGCAATATTGTTTTTTGGATAAAGGTGTGTATGGAATCAAGTAGTGTTCTTATAATTTGACAGCGTTCTATTAACTTTCGCGTTTTTAGTTGAACGCTGTTCTATTTCATTTCAATTCCAAGCGCGGTTAATTTCTCCTATTGGTTACAAAGCGATACTAATTGAAAACTATAGAACAACATATATCAGAGACGGGAGTAACTATTTATGAAAACGTGGTTCATATCACTGTGAATGCCAAGCTAATCACTTTGTTTTAATTAGCACAGGGATCCAGGTGAAATAAAATTTAGATATACATAACATCCAGGTATTCTTACCTGTAGATACAAATAGAATTATTCCACTCCTTGCAAAATACGCGTATCTACTTAAAGGTTTGTTTTTTTTTCAATTATTTTTACTTTAAATAGAAAAACAATAGTCCGGTTTGCTAAAAGTGATACACCTAGCCGATATACAGTATATAAGGAAATAAAACAAGTACTTTCTTATTCAAAATAAAATAAAAAGTGTCAAAAAGGATCCAGATATATATATATATACAATTAACCAAACTCTGATGAATTTCGAATTTGTTTGGGGTGTTTTAGGGGATTGCTGTTAACAGTCGTCATCTCTCTAATACACGGGGTAACACTTATACTCACATAGCAGACAGAATACTTAATTGTCTACAACTAACCAGCACGAGAAATGTAGAACACCGTGAAATAACGATATTGATATAACCTTTCCTTATCAATCAACAGGTTTTATTTCATTATCGTTGTCTTTTAAATTTGTAGATATCAAGGATTGTGTATGAAATCGGCACTGTTTCTAAGAGCTATTTCGTTCCACATGACTTGAGCTTATTGATAAACAATTCTTATATATATATCAACCACGATTATTGCACAGAATTCGTTTCTATCATCCATCGTGCACATATGCTGTGCGCACGATACAATCCGACCAGCTCGTTATCGTTCACACATCGCACAGAACTCATATAGTGACGCTCGTTTACACAGCAGTGAAACCTCGATATAGTGACGCTCGTTTATACAGCAGTAAAACCTCGATATAGTGACGCTCGTATATACAGCAGTGAAACCTGATATAGTGACGCTCGTTTATACAGCAGTGAAGCCTCGATATAGTGACGCTCGTTTATACAGCAGTGAAACCTCGATATAGTGACGCTCGTTTATACAGCAGTGAAACCTCGATATAGTGACGCTCGTTTATACAGCAGTGAAACCTCGATATAGTGACGCTCGTATATACAGCAGTGAAACCTCGATATAGTGACGCTCGTTTATACAGCAGTGAAGCCTCGATATAGTGACGCTCGTTTATACAGCAGTGAAACCTCGATATAGTGACGCTCGTTTATACAGCAGTGAAACCTCGATATAGTGACGCTCAATGATACCCAATGAACATTTTTCTTTGTATTTTTCTTTGTATTGCATTAGTTTCAAAGACAACGTAAGGAGCCACGACTGTTCCTCGCATTGAATCATCAAGGTCGATAATAAAATTACGTATCGAAATTGTTAAAGAATAATTAACTTCTATATTATCACGATATAAATAAATGTAGACTACCGCGTGTTATTGGATAAGTCTGCAAGCCTGTACCGAACCGGAGAACCATAACTTCTTACCAAAAAAAATCTGTCTAATTCTTATCTAAAAATACATACCGACGACTCAATGTCACTCGTTCGTTTAATACAGCTCCGATACGTTGAACCCCCCACCCCCATTCCCACTCCCCCTGTAAAAAAAAAACCCTGCAATCTGTATATGTAGTCAGTTGAGGTATCAGTGAAAATTACTGTCAGCACTGATATTGTTGTACAGAAAACTGTAATTAATTCTACAGTACGTTTGTTTTGGTGTCTGTGGTTGGGATAACAATTACGAGATTTATGTCTGGACATTATGTTTATTGATCATAGCACCGTAACCGTTACACTGAGTAAATTTTACCATTCAGTTGTCATTGTCAGGACTAGTGGGAACGTTCCTTATGGGCCTGGTCAGTAGCTGTCCGGAGGACAAAATCGGAAGGGTTATCGCCTGTCTGACCAGCCTGACCGGAGAGCATGAGAACTCCAGCTCAGCCCTATTATCAGAAATGGATGTCCGAGAGATGGAAAAGTACTGTCGGTACGTAGAATATGAATACTTAATGAGGATGATCCCCGTTCTCTGAATGTCCGTGACCTAGTTATATACCCATCGACACTTCTCCTCGAATTGACATGACAAAACAATTAACCGTGTCCATTGAGGCACGCGGTGGTTGATTTCCTATATCCGGCCAATTAAGAAGAGGACTTCGTTTTAATGCATCCACCCTTGGGCTCTGTTCATGCTCCAATCATCTTGGTTATAATTTCAAGACTAATAGACTAATGCTCTATATTTGATTTACTCAGTAACTGTTCCATGCATTGTTCCAACATGCATATAAAAACATGTGTTATCAGGTAACTCATTTCTTGAATACGCACGGTAGAAATAATTGTAAAAAAACTTTCCAGAACAAAGATTTACATTCATAAGTAACAATGCAGCTTAGAAGTCATGGTGCCGGAAGCGCCATTGAGTCTAATTCAAAATTGGTGTGCATTCTTTTTGAGGGTGTTTTCGTTTCCATATTTACAAATGAAAGGAATTAATTCATCTTTGCTATAATCAGTATTTCGAGAAAAAAGAAAACCCGATAACAATGCTTCCACACGTTAAAACATAAATTACCGTTATAAAATGTCCTCGAGGATGGATGTGTTGTTCGTTTTTATTGCTTTCAAAACAGCTATCAGATGTTACTGAGAAAATGTTTCCTCTAGAACTGATGTGCTATTTTGATTTTATCCTCCGTCTTGTGGTCTGTGTATACACAAGTTTAAATGTTTTTTTATTCTTTTAGGAAATTTTCTGTCAAGTTTTAATATTCTATTTTCAGTTAACAACTGTCACCTTAAAAAGTATACTGTAAATCACTTATGTTTCGCGTGGGATATATTTTCGCGGCAATACGCGAGAAGAGTCAATCGCGGATTTAAATTCCTCGCAATTAATTGTACAGAAATAAGCCTGAGCACTCTCCTTAATGAGTTGGTAACCGATATCAGTTTTTTTTCACCATTCGCGAATTTAAAGTAATTCCTGGATCAGCGTTCGCGAAATTATGTAATCGCAAAATCTGAGTAGTTGAACAGCTGTACTGTTCTGTTGAACCATGTTTGTCACGGAAATCTGTTCTTTACTACGAGGGTCTCATGATCACAGACACTCGTTAGATTTTTTATCACGAGTTATCTCCCTTTGATAAATTTTCGTGTACAATTTCTCATTATTCAGTTCAACTTTTTTTAAAATCAGTTATCGTTTTCTAAATATCAAGACAACACTTGTGTTAAATCTTCTGCCACATTATTTGATCTTGCTTACCGTCAAGTCACTATTATATATTCATTTTAAATTACGATAATGTTTTGTCATCATTTGTACCTGACTTTTATCTACGCCCCCTACCACCCACGCATGCACCTACAGACACACACATCCCCAGATAAAGTCTATCACGCAGCGAATGGTTTCCTGTATGACTGTAACGTCTGTTTTTTGATGATTTAGATTTTTTGTGATTTTACCAAATAGTTTTATCAAAGAAAGAAGTATATCTTGGTGAATTCGTGACCTCTTAAAAGATTTCTGTATCACCTCTGTAATCATGAGACCAAGGTAGATATTTTCCTGGTTCTATTCCATGCTTTGAAATAGCAGAAAAATAACAACATCCTCGATATTACATATAGTGATGAATGCAATGAATTCCTATTGGCCTGCGTCACTTGTCGGAACTATTTTTTATATATTTAATAATAATTATATTAATAAAAAAAAAAAAAAAAAACTCATCCAGACGTCATTTTCACAAATATTTCTTAGCACAAGAAAACGGACTCATTGAACAGGTTCCAATGTCTCAAATTTTAGGAAAATTCATTTTATCCTTTTCAGTGAACAAATGTTATTTAAACAAGTTCAGAAAATTTGTACAATTTGGACCAAGATTCACGAAAAGAATTACTTTTCCACACAACTCTTAAACCGGTTGTGTGAAGTACAAATGTTTTATGTAGATATCGGAAGACACGTCTCTAAAAATAGCTTATATACAATTGTCATCGTTACTACATGTATCAATATATCTTTATCGTTGATGGTGGCGTTCAATACAGTTCTGTTAGAAATATTTTCTCTACCACGAAAGGTCTTCCATATTTGAATCATCTTCACCTTTACCAAAACGTTGTTCCGTGTATCAAATAACTTATGAAAAGTTCCGAGAATCAAATTGTTTATGAGATGTCCACAGTGTCCAATAGCGTTTCTCTTGTATTTGAAAAAAAAGTTCTGGCATATTTCATCATATCATTTAACTCAAATTTTTCCATTTCTTTCATTTTTAGTGGAGGTTCGACAGCCATGTTGGACTGCATTACTGTTCTATTTGATAACTGTACAAAGGCAGAGGACAGACAAATCCTTGTCAGGTTCGCTGACCGTCAGAGGCTTAATTCCACATTTATACGCTTCTGTGAAAATTTTGATGGTAAAGTATATCATTACAATATTTTTCCTACGTTTTTAATGTGATAAAGACGGACTTAATAGTGGATATTGTTTCTTAACAAATCAAAATGCAGAAATATTTTCACTTTTTGTGTTCATTTTACGACTTTTAACAAAGCATCGCTATGCTACTACGTACGAAGACTAAAATAAATAAAATAAAAAAACAGATGTCCATCATGCCTTAAATAGTCTATATGCTATACCCTAGGGGTGTAACGTATGATTCATTTCCATACTTCTACATACCATGATACCATTTGACATTATCTATCGTTAATATGAATCCAAACATTCGTCCAAACTCTAAAACGAAAATACGCCAACGCCGGCGTTATCAGAACGTTTTCTTGCGTCAGCCATTTTTGCAAAACATCCCACTGACAATGATCGATGATTTCTCTTATTTCTCGCAAAAAGAGTTCCAAATTTGAATGACGACGATGCATTAATACTCAGAAGAACAGAATACACGAATGCTTTTAAAATTAAATTGCTGCAATGTGAGCTTAGGCTTTTAATAGAATCAAGATGAATTATTGCATTGTTTCCAACCGAAACAAAAGGCAGCGTGATTCAAATAGCATGTCGTGGTTCTATTCAACGTAATGTTGACCGTGGTAACGTTAGGTATCGTTGATACATGTTACGTATTGGTAGCCAAAATAATACAGTGGAATCAGGTTTATTGTAGTGATCCTTATAAATATAACACTTAATATTTACAACGTCCTGTATCCCTAATAGAAATGATAGTTAATATGTACGACTTGTAACCTGAATACAATTAGTAGTTGATATATACGACTTCCGGTGTTCCTATTAAAAACATCACTTAACATTTACAACTTCCGGTATTCCTATTAGAAACATCACTTAACATTTACAACTTCCTGTATAACTGGTGGAAATATTAGTTAAATTTACCACTTTCTGTATCACTGGTGGAAATATTAGTTAAATTTACCACTTTCTGTATCACTGGTGGAAATATTAGTTAAATTTACCACTTTCTGTATCACTGGTGGAAATATTAGTTAAATTTACCACTTTCTGTATCACTGGTGGAAATATTAGTTAAATTTACCACTTTCTGTATCACTGGTGGAAATATTAGTTAAATTTACCACTTCCTGTATAACTGGTGGAAATATTAGTTAAATTTACCACTTCCTGTATAACTGGTGGAAATATTAGTTAAATATACCACTTTCTGTATCACTGGTGGAAATATTAGTTAAATTTACCACTTCCTGTATAACTGGTGGAAATATTAGTTAAATTTACCACTTTCTGTATCACTGGTGGAAATATTAGTTAAATTTACCACTTCCTGTATAACTGGTGGAAATATTAGTTAAATTTACCACTTCCTGTATAACTGGTGGAAATATTAGTTAAATTTACCACTTTCTGTATCACTGGTGGAAATATTAGTTAAATTTACCACTTTCTGTATCACTGGTGGAAATATTAGTTAAATTTACCACTTTCTGTATCACTGGTGGAAATATTAGTTAAATTTACCACTTTCTGTATCACTGGTGGAAATATTAGTTAAATTTACCACTTCCTGTATAACTGGTGGAAATATTAGTTAAATTTACCACTTCCTGTATAACTGGTGGAAATATTAGTTAAATATACCACTTTCTGTATCACTGGTGGAAATATTAGTTAAATTTACCACTTTCTGTATCACTGGTGGAAATATTAGTTAAATTTACCACTTTCTGTATCACTGGTGGAAATATTAGTTAAATTTACCACTTTCTGTATCACTGGTGGAAATATTAGTTAAATTTACCACTTTCTGTATCACTGGTGGAAATATTAGTTAAATTTACCACTTTCTGTATCACTGGTGGAAATATTAGTTAAATTTACCACTTTCTGTATCACTGGTGGAAATATTAGTTAAATTTACCACTTTCTGTATCACTGGTGGAAATATTAGTTAAATTTACCACTTCCTGTATAACTGGTGGAAATATTAGTTAAATTTACCACTTTCTGTATCACTGGTGGAAATATTAGTTAAATTTACCACTTTCTGTATCTTTCTAATAGAAATGATAGTTAATATTTATGACAATTCTACTATTTATCACTAAAAATTATAGATTATGAAAATAGTACCTTTTTTCCTGCAAGCAAATTATTATGTAACAGTCTGGTCCATAAATTGTGCTACAATGAACGCAAAACAAACCTATTAGAATTTACAAACTACAGACATTTTAAATGATAAGCAAAAGTGTTCTTCCCTTTCTCCATTTCGTTTTTTTTTCCTCTTTCACAAGGCTTCGTCGTAAACCATTTTACCATCTAGTGACGCGTTCTCAATATTACATTTTATCATTAGTCAACTTAAATTCGTACTTAAAACCTGTAACTGAGTTCAAACATGTCGCAATCTTGTAGTCTTAATATTTTTATCTATTCATGGCTGTTTGAGATAAAATCAAAATGGTTAAAAAAAAGAGCTAAAAGTTAAATTTTAAAAACAAATATGAGAAGGAAGATACGTTTCTGTCTTCCTTTAAACAACCCTCGGCAAATTTCCGGTTTAAAGGGAAGGCAACATTAAGTATTCTACATAGTTATAATGGATCGTAATATACAAAGAAATTTTGTTTAAAATGTGTCCTTCTCTCAAAGATACGTGTGAGACAAATCATCTCTTGTTTACATTATCAACATAAAGTAAAACTTCTAAAAATGTTTTTTTTCTGAATTTCATATGTCTGGGTTGCGATTAATCAGCCATCAACTGCGGTATTTCTCAAAAGAGGTGTAGGCAGGCAGTGTTCTATCTCATGTTAACGCTATCCCCCTCTTCTTTCTTAACAACTGTTTATTCCTGAAGTATCTCTGAAGTCGAGCAATCACACACGTGAAGAAAAATTTTAGTTCTATCTTCTGACAGACATATACACGTCGTAGGATCTTTCAGAATGGTAGTTATTGATCTTTGTTTAAAGCTCAGCATAGTTGTGATGTAACGACTAGTTCATACGTTGTCAGTACAATGTGAACAGGTGGGGCGTCATTTCAGTGTGATAACACAATACTAGCATTAGATATACAGTATTTTAAGTAGCCTTACACAAATACATAGTCTTAAACAAATGCAAACACTAGCGTTAGCTAGCCTACTCTCACTTCTAGTGTATAGGAGACCACGTGTAAACAATTATAGTCTGTGACATTGAGCAATACAAAACCATCTACATGAAAATATCCTTCAGTTGCGAAGAAAATCGTTGAAAGTGTAAAATATAGATTTTAGAAAGGGTCACAGAATTGTACCTTGACAAAGGTCACTGAAGTTTTGTTATGAAAAGATCACACAAATGAAACTGGGCAAAGGTCACACAAATGAAACTGGGCAAAGGTCACATAAGTGAAGCTGGGCAAAGGTCACATAAGTGAAGCTGGGCAAAGGCCACATAAGTGAAGCTGGGCAAAGGTCACATAAGTGAAGCTTGGCAAAGGTCACATAAGTGAAGCTTAACAAAGGTCACAGAAGTGAAAGCGATGGTCACGGGAGTAATTACCTTATGCTTAAAGGTTTTTACGATGCAAATGGGCTTACAATCAACATTATATAAAATCTTTGTAAATTATAGACATGAAGGTCTCTCGACGTCATTTTAAGGAGCATATCTTATCTCGTAGATCAACAGCAAATTTGACATGGTAAACTATACATGAAGCAAAATGTTACCCTTTATTGGGCCTCCCTAATCGTAGAGAGTTGAGAGGCTGGGTAACAAAGGTGTTTTTTCAATTATTTTTATTTCCTACACGCACACTCCAACATATACATATATCCCACAACATATATATCATGTTTTGCCATCATTGTTACGAAATTGTTACAAATTAATGGGGTTTTTTTATTTTTAGAAAAAGCTTTTACCTACATACATTGTAGTAAGTTAGTTTAAAATTTATACGATTGTAGGTCAAACGGGTTCAATAAATAGGTTAATTATTTCGACAGAAGCTCGTTTCAGTTATTTTTTGTTAATGGTACATCGCTATTTTATAATGCAGTCAAAGAAGGTAGGTCTTTTCCCTGTGTATGACACAATTTGTGTGTTCTTTTCACAGTATATAGTTCCAACAGCGGATGCATTTCCAGTCAGGAACAGAGTGTTCACTCTTGCATTGAGGACTCCAAGAGACCATGGGTACCCCTCGGACCTATGCATAGATTTTGTAGGTAAGTGTTGCACCTTTCGACATCCCTCTGACTTATACCTAAAGTTTGTATAGTGAATGTTACACCTGTAGTAAAGAATATAGGTATCTTCTCGGAACAATTTCTCGTGCAATTCATCAGGGATTGTGGAAAAAAGCTTCATGGAGTGAAGACAGAATAATAAGACCATGAAGTCGTCTTCAAAATTATAGTTTAAGATCAGGTTTGGTATTATAGACGGCCCCTCTCTATCACTTTTATTTTTCACTAGACTTACCTATTGAAACCGTTCTTGTTAAACTCAAAAAATACAAATATAATGTACGATGCATATGTAAAAGTAAATTCTGTTGTAGACATTTCAAGACTTGGCACGAGTGCAGAACTGGCCCAGTGACAAGAGCGTGCGGACGACAGACAGGTGAAGTCATCGGCATCTTTCTTCAAGGAATTACGCCCCCTATATGTCAAGGCTACCTTCACAGAGACACCGAGTCCACCGCGCATGTCAGCAGTGCATGTTACAGTCATCTGGTGGTCGGCGTCATCCTGTCATTCTTATTTGTACACTCATTAACAAAGAGATGACAAAATGGACATTAAAGTATGAAACTACGGCGGGACAGGATCAGTATAATGTTCAGAAGGCGTGATGTAGACTAGTTGTCTGACATTACTCAACCAGGTTGAATTACGAAAATATATATAAGCCAGTATTTATGTATTGAATTCTATTTTCCTACTAATAATTTGTGAGATTCATACTACAAGATTATATTGTAATTACGCGAATTCGATGTTTATCAATCCCAAAAACAAACAGAGTTGATCTTACGTAATATCGGAGTCAAAATACCATCAGAAGTAGCTGTATAAGCAGACCATCTTTGGAACATACACATGTATGTAATAACGTAAATGCGTCAAAAAATTGTTAACATATAGTTAATTCACATCTTTAATTGGACAAAGTCCAGCATGTCTTTTGTTATCTCAAAACATTGTGTATACACCATTGTCAAAGTGACACGATGACACTAATATATAGACGTCATAGAGTAAACGGTGCATCCCTCCTTAAGTCTGTCTGAGAATCAAGTTTGACCGGAAGTAGGACATAAGACTAAAGAGTGCATTCCTCCTTAAAGCCCCAATATACGTAAAAATCACTATAAAAAAACAAACTTTATCTTATTTTCCCCGTAATATATGCAACAAAACAAATACTTTCCTTTAATTAAAGAAAATAAAACTGACTGTTTTCAATTTAAATAAAAATTGAAAAAACGGAAAATAAACAATGTGGAACCCACAATAATTCATACATTACCGCTCGTAGCGATGACATTGCGCATGCGCATATTCCGCGTGTGTAAACATGGCAGACACAGTACAGACGTTCACCAGTCGCTTCCTTTTTTTTCAATCATACATCAGGCCAGTTCTGAATTCTTACGTTATAATTGTGCGTCGTATCGTTTCTAAACTAATTATTCCTTCTAATAATATCCCAAAAACTGAATGTTTATCACAGGAATACCTCAAGTCTTCGACAAGACTTTGCAAAAAATGTTTGTAAACAAAAACTTACCGTAGACATATCTGCATATGCTTCCTCTATAAGTAGAAACCTCAACTCTCGCGAGATCAGGTCATGAACTTTCCGACGTGGTTCGACAACAATCGTAATTTCGATGGCGGCGTGTTTAAAATGGAGGTGTGTTTACAAATAGCGAGTTTCAACTGTTCATATATCAATACTTTATGCACAAAATCATGGTAACTATTGTTTGAATAACTTAATTTTATTACATCTTAGAGAATATCTCAATAACTATGTGTGATTCTACACTAAATTTTTGGTGAATGTTACGTATATTGGGGCTTTAAGTCTGTATGAAAATCAAGTTTGACCGGAAGTAGGGCATAAGACTAAACAGTGCATCCCTCCTGAAATTTGTAAGAAATTCAAATTTGACCGGAAGTAGGACATGATTCAATATAAAATGAATACCAACGTATTATCTTATACTTTTGAGTTTGTATATAATTTGCTATTTACAGTTTGACCTATAACAGACAATTTTAGCGCTACATACAACGTGTTGTAGGTCTGTGCTCGTGAACCTTATTTAGTGACGGTGTAGTTAATGTTGTGATTGGGTTTTTAGAGTAGACAATTTCAACGTTTTTTCTGTTGCTAAGGAACTTTTCTTGATCATAGGTCTACAGGCCTTGTGTAGATTTGCTTTTTAATGCATGAATTATCGTCACAAATCACAGATATGGTTAAAACAAAACAAACAAAAAAGGAAAAACATAACATAATTCTGTTTTGTCTCTTGATATTTGAGACGTGGATATTTTTGTAATGTTCCGAAAAACCAAGCACATCGATCATCTCTTTTTTAATTATGAAAATAATTCCTACATACATATATCTTTCTATCAACGTATATTTTTAATAAAGAGATTATTCAATTTTTAGAACATTGTCAAATGTAAGATTAAAGCATTGTTTTCTTTCAAAATTGATATGTTTAGATTGTTATTGAGTTTTGAGCCATTAAAATCATATAGCAAGATCATTTTCAGATTAATTTTTCCTAAAAAATATCACAGGATGCAAGTTGTTAACGAGAAACAAAACAAAAATTAATATTTCTCTTTATGAATACTCTGTACAGAAAACACCCTTTCCAAAATAATTGTAAATTTTAAAACTTTTAGGCGACCAGACCTTAATACATCCATAAGTTGGGAATTTGAGTAGGTCGAAATCCGTTCAGAGATCCCCAATATATTGTTATGACGTTATAAAATCACCCACCGTTAAATCGGATGTAAAATTTACGTTGATGATCATTTAACAACTGAATGTTTGTCAAATTACATTTATTGTCAATATGAATGCAATCTAGGTAACAGATGAATAGAGTGATAAATGGAAGACTTTGATAAAATATTGTTACAACGCCTTCTTTTACTAGCTGACAATTGTCTATGTTGATTTTGGTGTGAGTTTGTAGGCTACGTTTTGCCTAGTTTCACTGTACCTTTGGCCAGAGACCTACATATAAGTCTCTGCTTTGTCCTAGTAACCTCTGCCATAACTGTCTATACGACAGTTTCTTTCTTTTTCATAGTTTGTCGCAATTTTAGCTCAAAGAAATGAACGTAGAAATTAACTAGCATTCCTATACGAATGTGCCGAGGGGAGGTAACTCGCACTATCCTATGGTAAGATGAATTTTGTTGTATAAGAAATACTTAGATGTAAGAGATATTCTTTAGACCACGCGTGCCTGTTATGTAGTACAAGAATAACAATAATATTTTCTCCATTTTGATGTGTCGGCTACAAAATGTTGGAGATTTCGACCTAGACTGTCATCATCCATTGGTAGCGATAAAAAAGAAAATTTTCGGGGAAAATCAAGAAAAGTTTTTTTGAATTAAAAAAATCTTTCAATATCTCGTCGTTACATTTCGGCTGATTCCGTGTATTGGTGAAAGATGCCGGAATTAGCCGAGGTTAGCCGAATGACGCTGCACGTAGAAAAGCCAACGTCATTGCATCGTTATATAAGTATCATATTTCCAAATTTAGGTATTTTACATACATAATGAAAATGTCATCCTGTTATCAGTTTAATAACACCCATTTCACAAACTGTTCTATCACTCTATAGCCAGAATGCATGAATGCTCAAATTGATTCCCCTGTACATCTCGATACCATATCTTGATGGTTCATCATGTCGTCATATGGATGTTGACGTCATCGAGGAGAACTAGGGAGTGTAAATAATACGTGTATTCATTAAGACTTTATAGGAGTCTAATAAATCGTTTTCTTAAATGTTGACAAAGATATTCAAGTTAGCTGTTAATCGCAATTTCACAATTATTTCAATTAATATAAGATTTATGAAAGTTGTCACACATTTTACAATATCTCGCCTCGGTAAAATTGAAAATTCTTAGACTCGCTTTGTAAATGTTTATAACATATATCTCGTATGATATCCTCTTTTTGTCAGTTACATAATCATTGTTTATGATTTATAGTTTGTTTTCAATAAATATATTGTGTAAGATCAAATGTCCTTGTACCAGTGTTAAACTGCAGGAAATTTCATTATTTTATCAGCCTATTGGAAAATAACTTTATCCTTTTCATATTTCCCCGACATTACCTTATTTGGTGATATCTAAAGGGCTGAAATGTTTGAAGTATTGTACATGTTTAACAAAAGTGCAGAATACCCATGTCAATCTTTCCCATAGTGCATTGCGGTACCCAAATAAAACCTCTGTACACGGCTTCTGCCATACCAATCTTGAAAAACGTATTTGTGACAAATGATAAAGCAATTCAATATATTTTGGTCTGTTTTGTTATTTGTGTTATTTTTTTGAAAACTGATTTTCGTTCAAGGACTACATTATTTTTTTATGGTTATGAACGTTAAGGTTTATTTTGCGGAAGATTAACTGAGTAAACAGTCACCAACCGTCGTGTTTACATTTTGTACTTTCACTTTTTAGCTACCGTAGTGTTGTTGAGATACTTGTTGATATATTGTGATGTCAGTGAAAACTGGTGATGATTTGGCTACAATATTGGCACATAACCTCTCAAAAAGCGAAAAGGAAGGTTGCTTTATGCTGATCGATGGCATATAAAGCAGTCGACAGCTGTATACTTCGGTGGTATTGTCAAACAGAAAACGAGTCCCTGATTCACGTCGTAAATTTAGCAAATGCTGCGCTCTTTTAAGATTATTTGCCTTTTTACATATTAACACTTGATTCACTACCTTTGCTGTATTGGTGGTCAGTCATCGTATCATGGAGTGACAGGACAGGGGATGTTTTATGTTAAATACCGTCACCCTTCACAGTCAAAGATTGGTCAACCTATACTTGTATGTCGTGTTCAGAATTTAGATAATCCCAACATAATTCTTTACAGTTTTATTACAAAACACCATCGCAATAATAGAAAGGTTCAAAAGCAAGAAAATATCGACATGTCAAGTTATTCAAATCAGTTGTCGGAATATTTTCTGTCTTTGTCCAGTCACGTGATCCGCTATTCAAACATCTCTGTACGTTATAAATTACCGATCTTGCCGTTAAGTCCGTACGTTTAATTACATCCAAACAAGTTTTCTGTCTTATGTATTTTTCCTACGTGACGATAAAATTCACCACACCTACACCTTCTTGTTTCGTAGAGTCATATTGATGGCGCCTATTATTTACTCAGAACACTGTTGGAGAGACATTCCCCTAAACTGGTTGTAAAAGGGAGAAAAACTGAATATAGAGCACGGTCAAGTCTCTAGTCCGGAGAGTCAAGCATCCGACAAGGTGAAAGAGTAAGTAGCTGTCTGCACCTTACAAATTCTGGGTTACATCATGGCAGTGTCTGAAAGATGGCCGCCATCTATACCAATACAAGTTGGGAAATGTTGACGCATTGAGATGTAAAACCGCTTGATTGGTTACACTGTAGAGGAAACAACAGACCTATATACGGTATACTTCATGACAAACTATGTCCAAAACATGTGCAAGAT